CTTGCAAGCTCTCCAATAGGTTCCCCCTTGCGCTTTGGCGGGAAACTGCTATGCATCCCTAGAAATTTCAGACCGACGGTGCAGAAGCATAACAGCAAAACTGATTTGTGACCAGACCTCCGCGACATTCGATGTGTCCGTTTGCAGAAGTATAATCCACCCTTCAGTAAACAGTTTCGAAACTAACCCTAATGTAAATATTCTGCTTGACAATTGGATACGATTATGGTCCTTTAAATAAAAGCAGAACCTCTAGCAGCGGAGGAATACCTTTTCAACACTTTCTGGATCTTTAAAGAGCACAAAGCCAAAGCCCCTTGAACGGCCGGTCATAGGGTCCAGTTTTAGCGTGCAGTCTACCACCTCCCCAAACTTGGAGAAGTAATCTTTCAGATCCTTTTTGGTCGTGTCCCAGCTCAGCCCTCCGACAAACATCTTCCTGAGAATAAAACAAGTGATGCACAATTTATTATCACAGTGTTAATAATTTATTTTCATTTATAACAGATTCCAGATTCCGAGTGCCATGCAGGCAAACTTGATATGTAAATATTTTCTAGTGACTGAGACAGTTAAGATGCTATACCGACAACAAATGGAGACGTGATTTAAGAAAAAAGGAAAGGAGTCTAGGAAATTATTATTGAAAATCTATGCTTCCTTTTTTATCAAAGTATTTTACATCTTACATTGTTTAAAACCGAAAAACATGTTTTATAGGTTGCAAACCCTGGGCCAAGAACGATGCATTAAAAAGCAATATGGTTTTTGTTTTAATTAGGAAAAATATGACAAGACTATGAATAATGTAGCAAGGTATTATAAAATACCGTGTTGACGTTTTAACAGTGGCGGTTCTAGTTTACCAAGGGAGGCCAGGGTGGGGCTGTCGTTTTTAATGGGGACACAAAACAAAAATAGTGTTAATAAAAAACCTGGTTGTATCTTAATATGGCTGAAGTTTTAAGGTGATTGCATTTTCTAAAAGTTAATTGTAAAGTTGAATGATTAAATTGGTCGACCGACGTCAATTATTATCAGTTACATGCCGCAAAAATGATCCATCTAATCAGGGTCTCATATGAAGATTGATACTAAGCAAGAGAAGATTTGTTTTGAGAGGATTCTCCTTAAAGTGCAATAATCTGCTAATGCAGTGATGCAAATACACTGAGCAAGACTGATCATGAAATCATGATAGTCTCATAATAAAAAATCTATAAATCTCAAAACAAGATCCAAGATTTGAGTGCAGTAAATTCTGTCCATGGATTTAATCATATGACTTATTTTTTTATGACACAGCAAAAAGTGATCTAAAATGTAAAATCATCTTAAAATAAGCGGGTAAATAATATGATTGCCAAAGAAAATTTTATTTTCCCACAAAATAAGATATTTACATGTAAACTACTTGAAAGAAGAGGATTGATTTTATTTAGTTTTAATTGAAATCATCTTATTACATTAGTAAATTGTCTTACCTACTGGCTTTGAGACAAAATACAGCCTTTTTCAAGAAAATGTACTTATGTGTCAATTTTTTGTGGTGTATGTTTTAAGTGCAGGGGCCAGGATCAGTTCTCCAGGGGCGCTGGCCCCTGTTGGTCACTGCCTAGAACCGCCTATGCGTTTTAATGACAGCTGTTCAGGAGGAGGGTTTGGTAAATGGATTTTTTATTTTTTTTTACTGACCTAAACATGAGTATTATCAGCAACATTGATAAATATAACAGTTCTCCTACCAAACATATTAAGCAAATCTATTGCAAATCTAAACTCTGTGATGCAACTGAACTGCTCTCTACAGAAGAGGATTAGGGCCACTGAAAAAAAAAAAAAATAGTTAAGTGAATTTTAAATATTTTTTCAGTTTAATAAGGGAAATATGACTTTAATCTCAGAATTCTGACTGAATTGTTGACAGCTAACAAACATGTTAGCATTAAGCCGTAGCCATGTCTGTTTTAAAGACTAAACTAGCTCTCTTTTTTTCACCTTCTGCTCTTCCATGAATGGAATAGCATCACCGGGGACCCCCAGGAATGTAAAAAGTCGCCTAATTGCATCATTTTCCACCAATGTGTTACTGGCCCTCCCAAACAACTCACATCTTTTTGAGTGAAGCTTAGTGCTCCCACATCTCTTCCTTCGTGGTGCCCAAATTTTTTAGTTTAAAGCCAGAATTCTGAAATAAAAAGTGAGAATTTTGAGAATAAAAGTCAGAATTGTGAGATTAAGGACAGAATTCTGAGATTAAAGTCACAATTATAACATTAAAGTCAGAATTCTGAGAAAAACTGACAAAATTCTGAGATTAAAGTCAGAATTCTGAGATTAAAGTCAGAATTCTGAGATTAAAGTCAGAATTCTGAGTTTAAAGTCAGAATTCTAAGAATAAAAGTCAGAATTGTGAGATTAAGGACAGAATTCTGAGATTAAAGTCACAATTCTGAGATTAAAGTCACAATTATAACATTAGTCAGAATTCTGAGAAAAACTGTCAAAATTCTGAGATTAAAGTCAGAATTCTGAGTTTAAAGTCAGAATTCTAACAAAAAAAAAGTCACAATTCTGTGATAGAAGTCAGAATTCTGCATTTTTAACCATATTAAACTGAAATGCAACTTAAAAATCAGTTACTTTATTTTTTCAGTGGCCCTAATCCTCTTCCGTAGTCGTCAGACAGTATAAACCTTGAAAAAGGAGTCCAGCCATGGTGATCTTACCCTTCATCCTCCTCATTTTTACTCGCATCGATCTTCGATCCGTCGGCCTCTCCTCCCATCAGGCCACAGTCTCCAGAGGCTGACATGGGATCGTCACAGTTGGCGTCCCCATCTTCCTCCATCCTCATCATGCTCGGATCTTCGCTGAATTCATAATCTTCCGACATGTCTCACCTTTAAACGGAACTGGTTCTAACGACAGCTACGCCACAAACAGACACGAAACAGTCAGATTGGAGCAGAAGCTAAGCTAACAGCTGACCGCTAGAGGCTAGTTAGGGTAATTTATTACTAAATGTGCTTAAAGGAAAAAAGCTTTTCTCTATTAAACTCAAAGCTTGGCGTGAAAAAAACTTAATCTAAAACTAGTCTACACTACTCGGGATACTTTTCGAAAAATAAGGAATAATATTGCTAGAAATGTGATGCTTAATATTAGGTCGTCGTTTTGTTTTCATCGCAGTCAGTCGTTCTTCTTCTGCATTTTCTTTGAACATTGATAAACAAACAGAAGTATTGAAGGGCACCATCTATCGTCGCGGAATGTCAACATCAACTAAAACCGTTAGAAAAACAAGTGAATAGAATAGGGCTCGGGATCGGGCTCGGGATCCACGTTGCATTGTGGGACGTCGCGTTCCTCATTTCCAAAATGGGGAAATTCTGGTGTTTACAGCAAAAAGATTCTAGAAAAAATTTGTCACACAAACCTGAACCTTGGAAAAATGTAAAAGAATAATTTAATTCAGTTTATTTCTATGGCGCCAATTCACAACACATGTATGTATATATATATATATATATATATATATATATCTATATATATATATATATAGATATATATATATATATCTATATATATATATAGATATAGATATAGAGATAGATAGATAGATAGATAGATAGATAGATAGATAGATAGATAGATAGATAGATAGATACATACTCCCAGAGGAAAAATGACTTCTCTGCATTTAACCCATCAACTTGGGAAACAGTGGGCTGCCATTGTGCGGCACCCAGGGAGCAGGGACAATTAATTACTCCCAAATATACAAGAAACAAATAAATGTAGGAAGTAATTGAATTATACAGTAATAAATAAAAGTATATATCTCTTTTAATTAGCTTCCTTATTCACCTTTGTAATAATTACCTTATTTATGTATTGTCTGTTAAAATCTTCAACTTCATTTATTGGTTACTTATTTTTTTAAGTATTTCTTTGTGTACATTTTATAACATTATTGTCTGTTCAATTCTTGCATTGTTTTACCCTATTTATTTCTTCAATTTTATTTATTTATGCCTGTCGTTTTTACATTTCTGGCTCATTATGCAAATGAGGAGTGGCTGTGTCTTAGAGGGTTAGCATTTTGAAAGAAAAAGGGGAGAAAGAAAATCTTAAAAAGGAAAGAATACACTTTGATTAATATAAATCCTTAGAAAGAACTCAATAGATAACTGCTATGTAATTGTTTTTCATTATATTAGATTAATCAATGTAATTGAGAGTATTTTAATATTATTTTGGCATTGCTGGTTTTGTTTTGTTCAGTATTAGTAGTAGCGACACTCCTTACCAGTTGGTGGCGGTAATGCGCCATTTCGTTGCGTGCCAACAACCAAAAAAATCCCATAAAGAAGATTACTAAGATCAGATTCCATTTGGGAAAGGGGAAGGTAAATCAAAAAGAAAGAAAAAGAATTATGGCCAAAAAAAAAAAAAAAATGGGATGAAGATGAGAAAGGGAGAAAGTTATATATGGTTCAAAAATCTGTATTTGTTAAAAAATTATGGAGAAAGAAGCAGAAGGGAAGATACTAGATTAAGAACTGGACATATCTACTTGGATACGTTTTTGTTTGTACTAAGGAAGAGAAATAACGATACATGTAAGGGTTGTGAAAGAGAAGTAAATGTGGATCTTGTTTTCATATGCAACGGAAAGAGAGGATGAGGAAAGTAATATTGGAAAAAGGGAGAGAATCGAGTATTAAAGGAATTGTAGGGATAGATGGATATAGGGAGGGAAATGTGGTTATTAATAAAGCATTGTTTTTTTTGTTTTGTTTTTTACATAACACAAAAATAGAATATAGTATGTGGAGCTATATAGCTACACACTGATGTACAGTAGGTGGCGCTATGCACCTATAAGCTGATTGCAATCCGCCAATCTCACAATGAAGAAGAAGATTACTATAATATATTGCTTGATCTCTGTGGTGATTGGGGGATTAAGCGGACGTTCGGACGCATCCAAAGAAACGGCGATGTTTGTCTTAGAGCAAAAATTAAATATGTCAAAGTTATTATTTCTTTTTTACCTCTCACAACATGACGTCTGCGTTGACGTCCTGCGTCCTAAGACTGTGTTACAATGAAGACAATGTCGCCACCTGGTGGACTGGATGCTGAAGTTAGCAGAACATGTGAACCGATCACAGCTTCGTGTGGTAGCTAATTGCGGGGTATTGGCATGGTTAGTCAGTTAGAAACACATAATCTGCTTTGCATTCTCGCTAAACTCCATCGTGTTTCACCTATTCGGTCTGGAGAAGCAGGGAGAGCGGGTTACTAGGCTGGAAGACACCGCTGCTGCTAGTGCTAGCTAAGCTAAGCTAAGCTAACATCAGGTAACCGCCTCCAGCGGTAGACCTACGGGACAAACACAAAGGAAATGGCCACTGTTGCTATTCCTGCCTGCACAACTGCACTTTTACTGGACATCGAGGGAACCACCACGCCAATCACGTTTGTTAAGGCAAGTTTAATGTGTAATAAATGAGAATATGTCCAGAAAAGGTGTGCGAACAGTTCTTATATATTCTTTACTCTGAAACTATTTTTTTCCAACAAATATATCAATAACAAGTGATAATCTTCCCTTTTTTATTGTTTAGTGATCAGTCAATAAATTGTCTTGGTTTCAAAGGTCTACTAAAAGTGTCGTAAATAGGCGCTTTCCTGTCGTGATAAAGGTGACGTCATGAGCCAAGCCCCTTTGAGAGCTTTTTCTTTTTTTATTTTGGCAAGTCACTTCTGTTAACATGAGAATTGCCATATTTTTGTAATTTATTGAGAGCTACTGAGAGCACTATGCCCTGAACGCATCATTCCATTAGAACATCTAGTATATGTCAACATTTCCTCATGGTAATGCAGACAATAAACTTTGTTCTACCTTCTCTATTTCAGGACATACTGTTCCCTTACATCGTAGAGCATCTTGAGGATCATCTGTCGAAGCACTGGGAGGAAGATGAATGCAAACAAGATGTTCATCTGCTTAAAAAGCAGGTGGGGGATGTATGAAAGTTGTAGGGAAATCATAATTACAGCAGGGCCGAGCTGTACTCTTTATCAGATGATATTGTCCCAAAATTTAGAAAATTTCTATAAGAAAAAATAAATCCTGTCTTAAAACCTGTGTTGTTTTTTTTCTGTTATCTTATGCAGGCCAGTTAGTTATACGTCAGCCCGAACACCTAAATTCGACCAATCATATACCGACGGTCATCTGTCAATCAAATTTTTTCGGTCGTAGCATCTTGATTCATATGTTTCAGCTGATATACGAAATTGTTGAAATAAGAGACAAGAATCATTTCCTTTCCTTTGAGTTCCGTCCCAGTGTTCACGGGGATGGACGTCTGTGTCTTCAGCAGGCGTAGAGCTAACAGAACTGGCAGCGTTGCGAGGCAAGGGCTCAAACATGTACGGCTGGAAGCCTTCTACACCTGGCGTCCTCTTCCACGACAACTTTGTCCTCAATTTCCTCCTCTAAATAAAACAGAGGAGACTCATCCACGACCTACGACACTAAACTCTCCTCCTCTTGCATGTTTCCTCTGTCCATAGCGTTCCTTGACAGTGTCGTTTCTAAGTCACCAATTTAGTGCTACTTGGTCCCAATAGAATTTCCCATTGGGAACCTACTAGCACTAAGCTGCTAACTGGTTAGCAAGATGCTTCCAACAAATTGGCCACCAAATTGGAAACCTTCCACCCCAACAATCCCGCCCCCTTGATAAACGACCAATCAAAATCAATTTATTCACTTGTGTAAAGTCGGGCACTTTGGTAGAATTTGTAAATGAAACGGTAAACAAAGAGGGGAAGAAAAAAAAAAAAAACTGTGACAGAGCAAATTGCTAATGGTCATTCTGTGTTTAAATTAAAGGTATAATGGAGGATTTTCACAGATGTTTTGAAAAGAAATGCCCTCTCAGTTAAAAAAAAAGAAAGCGCACTTGCACAACCCTGTACCCGTTCTAGAGAGGAACACCTATTAAACGTGTGCGAGAGCATGCACAAACCTATTTTTCCTTGTGCACGCTCTGTTTAAAAGTTACTGTTTGCATCATTCATACAAGCTTCGTCTCCAAAAGAAGATTTGCATTTTTTCCATTATGTCAGACTCAGCACCGTGTTACGCCAAGAAATACCTGCCTGCTTTGAATGAAACCTTTAAACATATTTGTAATATTTTTATATTTCTTATGCATGGATTCCCTAAAATTGAGAGGTTTGATGGACAGATGAATTCGAATGAATATAATTCTTACTTGTAGCGAGATTTTAGTTGATGTGCTACATCAGTTTCAGATAAATATATTCTCTGCTCAGTGGGTGGCAATTCCTGCTTTCACTATTGACACCGTTCTAGATCATTTGTAACAAAACATTAAAAATATGTTTAAAAATTCCCTTTTTATTTATGTTTATATTCTCGGCAGGCAGGTATTTCTCGGCATAGTTGGGTGAAAATGGGGACAACCACGTAGGACGGCCTTATGTCACCAGAATGGTTGACCATTAGTAGGACCACAAACTAACATCCTCTACTATACCCTAAAATAAATTCCCTAGACAACAGGTCAAAACATTTTCTTTATTCCCTTGATTTTTTTTTTCACATTTTGTGAGATTAAAATACAAAAGTCGAAGATATTTAATTCAATTCAGTTTATTTATATAGCGCCAAATTCAAAACACATGTCATCTCAAGGCACTTTACAGTTCACCAGATCATACAGTCAAATTGATACACAGTTTTCTATTTAAGGAAAACCAGTTGATTGCATTGACCCAAATACAATCCCTCACACTAAGCATGCTTGTAGTGACAGTGGAGAGGAAAAACTCCCTTTTAACAGGAAGAAACCTCCAGCAGAACCAGGCTCAGTGTGAGCGGTCATCTGCCGAGGCCGACTGGGGTTCAAGGAGACAGAAACAGCATTTATTGTTTTGTGACAGACCAACATAGGGACACCAACCTTTAGAGCTTCCCTTTTTTAAATTATTTTTTTTTTGAAGTTCTAGAAATAAGAATCCTCCAAACATGTATTCAACCCCCTCAAATAGCTTCTAGAACCTGTTTAGCTGCAGATTATTTTGCCATCTTCCATCTGCTCTAAAAATTCCAGCTCTCCTTTCAGATGGAAGAGGACATGAGGCAGAACCGGGCGTGTCCCGTCCACGCCGTGGATCAAACGGTCCACACAGATGAGGAGAAAGCCATCAGAGAGGTGATGGAGAATGTGATGTGGCAGATGGCGGCAGACAGGAAGTCCATGGCGCTCAAACAGCTCCAAGGTCACATGTGGAGGGCAGCCTATACTTCTGGGAGAATCAAAGGCGAGTAAGTACGCCGATGTGTTCGCTCACTCACCAAGACTGTGCGTAGTTCTACAGCTGGGGGCAGGTCCTAAAAACATATGGGTCCCTTTGCAAATAGGATCTACCCCGATGTGGTTCCGTCCATCAAAACATGGCGAGAACGCGGCCTGAAGGTTTACATTTACTCGTCTGGAAGCGTGGAGGCTCAGAAACTCCTGTTTGGATACTCGGTAGAAGGAGACGTTTTAGATGTGAGTCAAAAACACTTTTGGGTCATCTGTGTGTATGGTTTCAAATCTGATCTGGTGTTTTTTTTTTGGTCTTCAGCTTTTCGATGGGCACTTTGACACCACAATAGGAGCCAAAGTAGACTCTAAAAGCTATGAAAGGATCGCCGAACGGATCGGCTGTCGGCCTGAAGAAATCACCTTCCTGACCGACGTAAGCAGAGGTAAGCCTTCAGCTGAAAGGGTTCACTGATTTAACAAACCAGTCGGCTCAGCATCAATCTCATTCTGATAACCATTATTTGATAGATCTAGGAGTCATTATAATGATAAAGCCGGGCATACACTGTACCTGTTTTTTCTATCCAGGGTTCCTACAGCATAAGGCAAGTTAAATTCAAGACTTTTTAAGACTTTTTAATGCCACTTGAAATAAAAATTTAAGACCAAATTCACAAGAAACACAAGAACAACCTGCTTGCGACGACTTAACCCAAAGGTTTATTTTAACATAAACCACTGCACTAATGTTTCAAATTTTGAAAAGCTTCATTTACAGGAAGAAAGCTAAAAACACACAAATGACAGATATATTTTAACAATTATTTAACTGAATTCAAAAACTTTGTTTTAGAAGGGAACAAAACAAATCGGTTTTAAACCCACAACATAACCAGTGCTAAGTCTTTTTTGCAGCTATTTTTCTTTGTATTGTTTTCTTAGTATGTTTGATTTGGTGATAAGTGGAGGCGTTGCAGAGACAAGGGTGGAACTAAACTGAGAAATACCGGCTGTTTCTCAGTAACTCTATTTTGACGCTTCTCATGTGCGACTCCACTGCCTTAATTCCTGTCGTTCCGAGCTTGAATCGCTTCTTGCACAAAATCCACTGAGCCTCATGTATGTTCCCTGGTTTTAGCCATGGAGAAAACTCTTGGCTGGAGCCAATCTTGGTTACATTTACACTTTCTCATATTTTCCAGGCAAAAAGTTAATGATGCATCTCCCAAATGTCCCGGCCGCAACAACGCTTTTATTGGTTCCGCTATCGGGACAGAACCAATAATGGCGAGCCGTTATTTTTTTTCTTAATAAAAAAGAAAGTCAATTTTGATGTTTTATTTAGATTACAAAAATAAATCGTAATAAAAATAATCCTATTTATGATGTTTTAAGAATTAAGACCTACGAAAAAATGATTTAAGACATTTTAATACCAATTAAGGCCTTGATTTTATTTTGAAGAATTCAATGCCTTTTAAGACTTTTTAAGGACCCGCAGGAACCCTGCTATCGTTGCTTGCAGCTACAGTTTACACTGTATGACGAAACACAGTTCACGATGTTTGTTATCACACTGTGCGACCAGACGCTCTGATGTGATCTACCTGCTCATACTGTACGTCTAAAAACCACATGGGACTCAGCTCCGCGGTGAGATGGCGCTACTGGGAGTAGTCGATCCGGAAGCCAAACGAGTAAAAGAGGAAAAAGATGGAAGTGTCGATGCCTCCTGTTAAATATGAAGCTCACTAGAGTGAACCGTGCTGCCTTGGCAATTTGTGCCATTTTGTGCTGAAAGCCCTAAAAAGAAAAGGCGACAATGTATTTGGCGAAAGACCTGGCTGAGCAAACATGTTTACTACGGTCTGTCAATTCTACAGAAAGAACTCCATTTCACTCGCAGCCCAGCCATGCTTCTGTGTTTTCATCTGAGAGGAAGAAGAAGAGGAGGAATCCTTGTTTGCACACTTAGCGATTTGCCCACGACGGTCGACTGAAAATCAAACATGTTTGATTTTATCACGACCTCACGATTCCTGATGGGGAGGCGGTTGTGAGAGACTGATCACCACTCGTTACGCCCTGTATAAAGCACACAATCAGGCTGAAAGTCTGCCCGATCGAAAAATTCTTGAACAACTCGAAAATCGTCCCGAAAAGGGTAAAAAATCATACAGTGTAAGCCCGGCTTTAGATCTGCAGAGCTCCACTTCAGAAAAGTCTACATTTATTTGCATTAAAGCACATAAGTACCCCGCCCTGCTCGGCTGGGTTGTTCCCAAAAAAAAAAAAAAAAAAACTCTTGGTTTCTCTCCCATCCATACCATCTCAAAACTGGTGATCAGTTTCATTTCGTCTTATTTTTTTAGAAGAGAGAATACATTTCACCATTTGGATCTGTGCTCACCTGGATTTCTGTTTTTTTGTTTGTTTTTTGTCTCAGAGGCCAAAGCAGCGGAGGAGGCCGGGCTGAACGTCCTGGTGGTGGTGCGGCCTGGAAACATGGAGCTGACGGATGAGGAGAGCGCTCACTATAACCTCATTACCTCCTTTAGTCAACTTCAACTGACAGGACGAGCTTAACGCACACCCTTATTTTGCCTTGTCTACTTTGCATCCCCAACCTTTTTTTTTTCTCTAATATTTTTCACTCTTCTGTTCTTGATTTTTGAGCGTTTGGAGGTACTGGGACTGTTTTTCGCTAACTGTGGCTAACCAGAGTCTTCAACAAGTATTTGCACTCCTTCAACTTTTTCCCCTCATTTTGTGTTTTGGAGTATAAAAGTGATGTTGGAGGAAAATAAGCTACTTGATTTAACTCCACCATGATTGACCGGAAGATCCATGTTCACTCCATTGTTACATGGCTTTGAGCAAAGATTAAAGTCTGTAGTTTACCTGCACCTTTCCAGCACGGTTTTCCCCATCAACTCCAGTCCATAATGATCCCCTCAGCATGATATTGCCATTGCCGTGCTTCACATTAGGATAATGTGTTCAGAGAAAGCTGCAGTCTTCTGAATGCATCTGGTTCCACTACGTTTTATTCAGGGGTATCGAAGTAGAGCAAATGACTAGAAAAAAAATCCTGCCATGTTTTGGTAAAAACTTAATAAAACGTAGAAAAAGTTGAAGAGGTGTAAATACTGGTGCTGTGTGACCCTGGTGAAATCCTCAATGGGATGCCTTCTTTATTTGTATAAAGTGTTGTGATAAAGTGAAAGACTGTCATGGACTGGGAAACTGTGGATGGGTGCTATACAATCACTGAATCATCAACATGCCTGCGGAAAACTGCACAGAAACTGTGAGGTTACCCTTAATGTTTCATCTTTTCCACGGACCGTGTGTCCGACTGCCACTTTCCAGCTGTTCGTATAAGAGCGTGATGTAGCTGTTGCCATTTTGTAAAGCGTCGTCTGCCTGTGGAGTTACCGGACATGCTAAAGTCGAGCCTTGTTCTCCTGTTTTTTTTTAGAAAGTAGAATCACAGTCTAGAAACACCCTGCTGTAGTGCGGACAGAAAATTCCCCATTTCTAACCGACGTTGGAAAGTCTTAACTCGTCCCTTTTGCTCGGGCATGGTGTCTGTTCATAATGTGCCATCTGTTAAATGTTATGTCGATGGTGGAAACTGTCCACACAGTAAACAGTTCTTAATTATGCCAGAGTGACGATCAAATCTGTAAACTGAGTTGGTATTAATCCAGAAATAAACACTGCCATTGTCTTGTTGTCTCATAGTTTGGATAATCAATTGGGTTTAATATTTGTTTCATGTCTGCAGGGAGTTCCTAACCTGACAACAGCCAGATGCATGTCTCGCTCCGCCTAGCTCCGCTCACATACATCTGGGAACTCGCTCATTGAAAGTGATTTCCCCAACCGAATTTATGGTCTGTCCAATCACGACGCAGGGTGGGTGTGTCCTGGAGTGGAGAAGCGACCGTGAGATTCCAACAACAATGGCGGCTCGCATTGAGGAAGCAAGCGTTAGCATTGATGCTGCTATTTCTTCTGTGTTGTCCAATCTATCTGATATTGTTTAATTAAAAGAACATCAGAGAACGGCTTTGAAGGCTTTTGTTGGTGGAAACGATGTTTTCGCCCTTCTCCCCACCGGATTTGGCAAGAGCTTGATCTACCAAATGGCTCCTCCTCTCACAGCGTCACGGGTTAGCTTCGGTGTGAGTGGTTGAAATTGCACGTCAATAAAGATGACAGACAAGTGGCTTATCCAATCATATGCAAGGAGTTTTGATAAGGCCCAGCCTTCAGTAAAGGCAATTCCTATGGCGGGTTCCCAGATGTATGTGAGCGGAGCTAGGCGGAGCGAGACATGCATCTGGCTGTTGTCAGGTTAGGGAGTTCCAGGTTCTCTCTAAATTCCTGTTTCTTTCCCATTAAAAAAATTAAATAATAAATTGTTACTCAAACATTTTGAACTGAAATATTTAAAACTACTTTCACCTCATAGAAAACTGAACCAATTTGATTGTATGATCTGGTTGAATAGTCTGTAAAGTGCCTTGAGACTACATATGTTGTGAATTGGCGCTATACAAATAAAATGAACTGAAAATTGTATATCAATATACTATATATTATATATATATAAGTATATCACCATCGCTGTGGTTTTATATATACATTGGATATAAAAGATGAATAATTTGTTTTCCATTGATGGTTATAGGTCCTTGGGAATTTAAGATCTAAGGATATGTGTTCCTCTGCAGGGGAAAATCTCTCAATGTTACCTTAAAGCTACAGTGTGTAACTTTTAGCGACATCTAGCGGTCAGACTGCAGCAACATGAACATCTCCCCCCACCGCTTCTCCCCCCCAACAGTACGGCGAGCGTTACGGGACAAAATGTCATCCACGACGTCCGCATCACCTACCTTCTCAAGTGATGAGGTTTGTTTACATAGATAATTTTACAGATAGTATTTCATTAGTCTGTGTCGGTTATAGATTTCATGTAGACTTAAGATAATAAATATACCCGTTATTTTTTCTACATCGTTGTGACATTTTGGCGATCTCGCAATCCCTAGTTTGTTGGCTCTGCGCTGCCGTAGCGCAAAGATGTCTGCCTCCATGGCTGCGAGACCCGCTCCTATGTAATTATAAATAACGAATTCTAAGGCAATGCAAATATTAAGGTTAAGAGGCTGAGCTCGTAGATGATGATAAATAACATAGTTATGTATAATATATTACATTTCTGACTGTATATCCCTGTAATTATTACACACTAGCTTTAAAAGGCTGTATTTTGATCCTTTTCCACAATAATGTACTATCTCTTAAAGAACAAAAACTTTCTAATCAGTTTTAAATCCATTTTCAAAAGATTTACTGCAGAACCAACAGTATCTGGGTTATTCATCCTCATGCTGTGCGTTCGGGTCAAGAAAATTTTCCACATGTAGTTTCGCACATGTATAATGGATCCATTTATTTTAACCTTTGACCCTAGATCAGTGTTTTTCAACCCTGGTCCTCAAGGCACCCTGCCCTGCATGTTTTAGTTTTTTCCGAGCTTTCACACACCTGTTATCAATTGATAGCAGATTATCAGGCTTTGCTGAATTGCAATCATCTGAATCAGGTGTGCTGAAGCTCAGAAACATTCAAAACATGCAGAGCAGTGTACCTTGAGGACCATGTTTGAAAAACACTGCCCTAGATAATACTTTTTCAGGTTGGGATGGAGGACATATAAAAGCAAAGTATATTTCTCCTAGATATAAAATTTTTAGATGGTTGTAGCTCAAACAATTTTCTCCAGCACCATTTCTCCAACTTCCCTAGCAACACCAAAACCACCAGACATTTCAATTTTTTTTAATAAACCTTTATTTATTCTTTTTTTTTTTTTTTTTTACCATTGGGCAATCAAAAGACTCAATGAAGCAGCAATGATTACAATGATTGATTGCATGAAAACTACAAAAAAAGGGGATAACATTGTAATCAGCCGGTGATTAAGATTATTACGAAGAGTAATAACCTGAAATTTACTCGTAGAATTCTTCTAAATTTTTCTTTAATTTCTTGTTTAACCGCTTTTAGCAGAAAAAATATATAAAATATAGCTAATTTAGACCCATACTTTTCTTTTTCTTAAGGATACACACAACACATTTGACTTGAGTCGATGTGCGTTCATGTGGCTGTAGCTTTAGCGACATTAGCGGTTAGCCATGTTTCATTTACCACCGTTTACCGGTCCTTTCATTATAGAAAAAAGTTAGACAATCAGCAGCACTGTAGTTTGAGAAGGTAATTAACTGATTTTTGTAGTCCCCTTTTTTTTGAAGGAACGTGAAAATAGTGATAGCATGTCAGGCTAATGTTAGCATCGTTCCAGGAATAACGTTAATCAAGGATAGGGTTGCCACTCTTCCCCTGAAATACGTAATCGTCCAGTATTTGGAAGTTAAATTACGCGTCCCGTATTGAACTGATAACGGACACTATTTGTTCCGCATTTTCCCAAATAACTAAAAAAAACAGTAATTTCGGTGGCACTTGTGCACAGAGCAACTCTACTTTTGTGAATGTGACCCATGTCTCCCATTCCTGATTCTCCCTCCCTCTCGTAGCTAGAGCTTAGAGTTCTACTGTTCTTGTTTCATCTTATCCGTATGACGTCTGTCTAAAGCATTCTCCACGCGGTTCTCTTCTTGGGGCGTTTGTCATGGTTTTGCTTCTAGTTCTACAAACTGTGCACCTGCGCAAGCCAACTCGAAGCCTCTATTGCAATATTATTCATTACACAGCAGGTTGGCAGGAAAAGTAGCAGAACAAAGTGAGTCATTTATTGAACTGGATAAATAAAAACCAAAAATAAGCACACACAAAAAAAATACCCGGCCAAGCACGCCATCGGTTTTGTGAGGGGATTTCTGTGTATGATGATACTGTGCAAACTTAACATTTCCATTTATTAATTATTTTAATTGGCTGTAGCTTATTGCAAGAAATACAAGCCAAGCTCAAAGAACAAAATAAAAGAATGGTTCTGTGTAGAGCTGAAACGGGACACAATTTGGATAAAATGCAGGAAATTGCGTCTAAGAAATACATTTTCTGGAGGACACCCAGACCCCCCCGCGACATTGAAGTTTCTCTAGGACCCCCGAGTCCCTTATTTCCATTTCTGAAAGGTTGCATTCCTAATTAAGAAGGAAGACCAAAATTGTAAGCATTTCTTGTTTGAACAAAAATGACAAAAATCCAACCACTTTAACACTGAGCATCTTTCTGCAGGTTTGAAATGAGGTTCAAACAAACACCTTTGAACACTGGCAAATCTAGGCGAAATTTCCAGGACCACAAAACGAAATGACAAACACACAAACCAAACAAAAAAAAGCAAAAGACAGGAGCGCATTATTTAGTATATTAAGTAAAGCCATGGTTCGAAAGGATCCTTATCTAACAGATAAAAGCTGTGATCCTATCTTGATGTGGCTGGAGCTTAAATCTAACCGTATTTGTTGAAGCAAATGTTAATCTTTAATTATCTTTAGAATGAGTATTATACTCGTTCTGACTGCAACACTGATTTATATGTAACAAGGATACTGATTGTTCTCTTTTGTAGTAGTCTTCTCATCTGGATTCTTCAAAAAATGTAGCTCCTACCTCCTTTTACTACCTCCTATCCCTTCACATTCAGCTGGATGAACAGTAAGAACTTTATCCAGGGTAGGAAAGGAATGCTGAACTGTTGAGCTGAATCCAGACAGCCTTCAGCTTTATGGACGTCATTACACGACGGACTAGTTCTGCTATATCAGGTGAGGACCATGTGTTGACTCCCATTGAGTCTGAGTCGTCATTTTCAACCCTTTCTATGCCCTAACCCTAAAACTAACCCTGAACCTAACCATTACCAATGCATACCTCACCCTGACCCAACTCACAACTTAGCCCTAAACCTAACCTTTAGCAAAATAGCTTGTGAGGACCAGCAAAATGTCCTCACTTTGCAAGAACTGGTCCTCAATTTGATGGTGAAATTGAAAAAAAATGGTCCTCACCCTGAGGGCTAGACAGGTACACACACACATACATATTATACTTAAAAAGATTAATTTTGTCATTTTGTATACACAAGTGTAGACAAAAAGAAATTTCGTTTAGAACATCTCTCTAGACAATTTCATTTTTTTTAAAGTGCAGCCTTGATAAGGTAAGCAGCAGTTGTTGTTGAGCTGCTACTGCTGCCTCCAGCTCCTGAGGCACTCGCTTCTCCTGGCTCAGGGGATTAAAAGGACAATGATGATGATGATGACGATGCTGTGACGGTGGTAGCCCCCTGGGCTGAAGAAGCTGACATGGTTGAAGCAGCAGTGATGCCATCGGCAGGTTAAGCAGCGACAGACGATGCTGGAGAAGGTGTGGGGGCCGGAGGGTGCTGAAGGAGCCGGCCCGGATGTTTCAGCATTTGGCAGGGAAGCATCTAGAGTGCTCTCATTTTTACCTGCAGGGGGCTGTGCTTCCCTTCTAAATGCTGAAGATTGCCTGGGAACAGTCTCAGTGGAGCTTCCATTCACATAGAGCTCCTGTTTCTATCGGCTCAGTACAGCATCAGCACCCCCAAGCCAACAGTATTGTCCGGTATTGCTTGATGGAGCCAAGATCCCATCAGAATGATAGCGCAGCAGTTACATGTCTCCTGTTTTGAAGAGAGTTCCAGTCGGAGATTATCCATTTTGTTTTCCAA